ACAAAATAAATAAAAAAATTCTAATTTTTTTGTAATTTTAATATAAGCTCAACATGAGATCTAAATCTGAAGACGGATTCGAGAAGACACACCTAATTGGGCTCCCAGCTCTCACTTTCTAAGGGTCAAGCAAGTTCATTCTATCTATCATTTAATTGGGACACTTGGAAATGTGCCTCAAATATGCACATGAGACAAATGAGATAGAGAGATGAGGTGCAAGAAAAAACAAAATGAGTCAAAAGGGAAGAACTGCCGAGGATAATGAGAGAGAAATAGAGAAATGAATGGGAGAGATTGGATTGTGGAAGAGGAGAGAGAGAAAGAGATAATGGGAGCATCCTGTATAATTAATTCCTATGGCAAAAAGAGTTACTTAGAAGGATATTTTATGAAATTTTAGAAAAAAAATGAAGGGTTGATCGGAAAATAATTGTGGTATAATTGCATGGTTCACAATTTCTCCCGAGTTTTATGTCCGAGTCTGATTTTCTCATGTTTTTTTTTTTCTTTTTTTTATCCTTTTATTCTATTTTTTCCTATTTTGATTTTGGCAACATTAAAAAATTTAAATTTAATTTTTTTTTATTTTTGGTCACCTCTAGACATTAGCAATATCGAACTGCCTATGTATCAATTTTGGCCCAACGTTCTATATTGCCAATATCAAACCGCTTAATACTTAGAAATATTTTTAAGTATTGAATAATTTGATTTCACTGCTCCATACTAAAAAAAAGTTCTAAATATGGGCCAGTTCTATGTTGGCAGTATAGAACCGCTCTATACACTGGCAAAATTGATACATGGGGTAGTTTGATGATGCTAAGGTCAAATGTTGGGCTTTTGTACCGTCCTAGTGTTCACCAAAAACAAAAAAAATTAAAAAGAAGTAGCTTGAGGTTGTTGATAGGGTTGGGAATAGGTCGTGTTGGGTCTGGCCCTAGAAATTAAAAAATGTGAAAAATAATGTTATATATTTTATAATATATTTTTTATTGTTATTATATATTGATATATACCTTATACATATAAATACCAGGTTAGGTCGGATTGGGTTGATCTCGACCTGACTATGGTTGGGCCTAGGTTAAGTAGATCCAAACCCAGATCTAGACTCAACTTGGGTTGGGTCTAGGTTAAGTGGACCCAAATTGGACCTGTTGGGTCCATTGTCCTGGTCCAAACCAGACTTAGTTGGATCCAAAGGTCGAGCCAACCCATTTCCGGACCCTGGTAATCGACATTGAACCGGACCCTAGTTGTCGACATTGAACCGGGGGCAAGACTTAAGGAAAGAATAAGAGAAAGTATGATCTCATTATGAAATTGGAGAAAAAATGGATCATGTTGTAATCCAGCAAATTTTTTTTTTGTTTATTTATGTAAATTATCCTAAAATTCTATCTAAATTATGGGATCCACGTGAAGATCATTTTATAATTATTAAAAAAGAATGGGAAAATGATTAATACCCATTAGAGATGCACTATTTAACACTAGAGAAACTTTTTACTTCTTCTACAGTATAAAACTTATATACTTCCCCTCATCTAATCGTCCAATTTAGATCAAGTGAGTCATTGACTACTTAGTCTAGATCGGACGTCTCATAATATTTTTATTTTCAATTTTTACTACAAATCCTATGAATATAAAATTTTGATAAGTTCCATCATCTCAATAGGGACACGCCTAAAACAATATTAAAAAAATATTTCTGATAAAAAAAAATATCCAAAATACCCCTAACAAATATTTTGGTCATTTTATTTTACTGAGAATATTTTTTTAACTTTTTGCAAGTGCGAGTTTTGAGAGGAGTGGAATACCAAATTTTGGTGTCAAAAGTCTTTTGTAAATAAAAATAAAAATAAATCAGTGTATAGCCTTGACATTATGATTGGATCCATCTCATTCCGATTAGATAGCTGGATAAGAGAAGTATGTAAGTTTTATACTATAAGAGAAGTATGGAAAGCTTTCCCAAATGAAATAGATGGTTTGATGAAATGGATGTTGGATAGGGAGAAGCATAAAAGTTTTACACAGCATAAAAAGCTTGCTTGAGGCTTTAAACAATTAAATTAAAATCTATATCAAAAATTTCACAAGAAGATGTTATTGTGATGCCTAAATATCATCAACTTAATCATCTCAATATCAAGATGCATGGACATAAGAAAAAAATAGATTTAAAGTTTGTAGTGTATATTATAATACATATTTAAACCGTCGATTTTTAAGTTTTCATCGATCTGCTTGATCTCCATTATTTTTTAAATTTTAAATCTTATAATTAAAAATAAAAATATATTTCAAAACTATCACGAAGATTTCCGGTATTGAAACTTAACACCATTTGAAGGTCGGCTGAACTTTCATTGTTTAGAGCCTCCGCTCTATACAAACCACTTTTGACTTTTACTTTGGCGCCAGAGAGTGGGTGGCTAGAGCCCTTGAGACGGGGAGAAGAAAAATCTAGAGAGAGAAAGAGTTGTACTTACTTGTTAGAGAGAGAAACCTAGAGAGAGAGAGAGTTACATTTGTGTGTGGTTCGAAATGCGTGTGCAGATAGAGGGAGGGAATTGGTGCTCCGTCGCGCGTTCCGGGAAGCCGGCCCCTGTTTCCAAGCGTTGGAAGAGGCCGGCCATGGCGACTCCACCCTGCTACTGCAATTATATTAACAATTACAATCATACCTTCGACCTTTACCATTCTCTCTCTCCTCCCCTCTCTCCCTCTCTAAGCATACTCCTCGTTAGTGGGCGGAGATTTCGTGGCAAATGGAGTTTAGGGGTTGGGCGCCATGGAATCAGGTCCTCGTCTTCGTCTCTCACTGCAAGAGCAGCTGCTGCCATTGTTGCAGACAAACTGCAAACTCCCGAAGCTCCAGTTGGTAGGCTCCTTAATCTCTCTCTACCTATCTTATTCTTACTCATGCTGGCTCATGTATTGGCTTCTTGTGATGCTTGGCCTCTCTCTCTATGGTTTTCTCCATCTGCATCTCCTATTTTCAGCATTTGGTTAGTGCGATGCTTTAAGGAACTCAGTTTCAATGGTAAATTGGAAGATAGAACAGTGAATCTTTTTTTATATGAAAGCCAAATTTTTTTCATCAATTTTTGGAAAATTGAGTGATTAGATTATAGAATTTGGGGATTTTCCCCTTTCTGTTTTACTGTGAAAGTTTCTTTTCTGATGTTTGAATTCCAATCGACCTCTTGTGAAAATTATGAACTTCTATTTCTCAAATGAGTATGGCTCATTGAATTCAAATAGTTTTCGGGGTTTCCCCATTGTTATATACTGGAATTTGAACTAATGCGCTATTCGCCATTATGAAAAAAATAAATGCATTGAATTTGAGAGTATTAAAATTGATTATGTATGTTCAAAAGAGAGAGAGAGTCACAAAAAAGAATTATACAAATAATTAACGACTAGCTCAAGAGTCCTTGAATGAGGAAAGAATAAATAATGTTTATGAAGGCCGTAGTCTCCTACAAACTCTCCCTTCAAGCAACATTACTGTTGTTAAATAGACATATAAATTATATATCATTGTGTTGTAAGAGGTGAGTCAACTTCAGTGGAGAAGGTTTAAGTGTATGAAGAGTGTAAAATCCTTGGTTTTGTATGTTGCTTGCTGGTAAAAGGTTCCTAGCTTGCTTTGTCTCATCATAAATATCCCAGTTCAATATTTTGCACCTGTGCACTTAATGTGGATGTTCTCTGTTCTCTCTATTGGCTAACAAAGTGATATTAGGTTAAGCTACTTCATTCTATATGTAGGGGATTAAGGATGGCCTAGAAATATTGGTTATGGAGATTTTTTAATAGAAGTGGCTTGACAATATCAGACATCCTGTCCTTGTTCACTAGAGCAAATTGGTGTAGCTGAAAAAGAACAGACAATTTGTTCGATATGGCTAGATTGAAGATGATTATACTGTTGCATATGTGATTAATTGATAATGCTCCCGTATTATTTATGAGAGGTCTCAATGTCAGAGCCATTTTCATATAATCGATTATACAAGAGCCTTGGATGCATTTAGATTGCCTATACTGCCATGAGAAAGAGAGATGAATTAAATCCCACTGAATTATGTGTTTTTATTGGATATTCTTTTAGTTTAAAGGATACAAAATGGGAAAATAAGGTATACAAGCCAGCCACCTATTGGGTTATTGTGATAAAACAGTTACATTTCAAGAAGAGGATTATGATTCTCTAAAATAATTGAGAAACAAGACAACCAGAAAATAATAAGATGCATGATCTATGCCAATTAGCAAGTGGATCTGTTATATGAATTTAGAAGAGAACCCATTTGCATGTTGAATTAGTCCAACTTTTAGTCCATCTCACTTCTCCAAGTTTACCAAAGAAGATGGAACTTAGACCACAAAATCCAAGTTTCGAATCAATGTATTGGGCGACTTTAGTTAATGCTAGAGAAATGCTTTGAATCAAGGGTCTTCTCAAAGGGAAAGGGAAAGTGAATAACCTAACTGACATCAAAATTGCCATTCATAGAGCGCATAAGCCAGCCTTTCTTCTACTTCTTATTATTCTTTTGGACTGTAGGAAACATATCAAAGCACATTGAATTAGAGAGGATTTTGTGGAAGTATTTTGTGCGCTATGTGCATTAGATCTCTGCACTCTGTGCATCAGATCTCCCAAATAAAGACTAACTACGTTGATAACTGCTTCAACGATAAATACCATCGATAAACATGAAGGGATATGTTTAATCTTTTGTATTTTGAGGGGATTTTTTTCTTTTTCTTTTTCTTTTTCTTTTTTTTGGAGGGAGATAGAATATGCGTATGCTTTTTTGAGTGTGGTTTGTGTGTATGATTGCATGGTATTCTAGTAGTATTTTTACCTTTTGTTCCTTTGTAGGGTAATCTTCTAATTATTCTAATCATTATACAATCTTCTAGTTATTCTTAATCATGATTAGGGCATGGTTATTCTGTGTCATTATTTTGTTATGCTCAAAATGTGTTTTGCATATTCCTCATTTGAGGAAATTGATGAAAGGGAAAAACATTCACTGAACCGCTGCTTGCTTCCTCTCTAAAGGAACATGTCTTTAATCATCATCATTATCATTAGAGCCTTTTTTCAACTATTTGGAGTCAGCTACATGAATCCTGGTCCGCCATTATGCTCCATTAAGGCCATACCATTAGTGAGGCCATAAGTTCCCATACCTTTTCTCAATACTTCCTACTATGTCCTTTTGGGCCTACCCCTTGCACTTTTTGAGCCTTCAGCTTCAACTAACTCATACCTCCTAACAGGTGTTGTACTAAGTCTGCACTGCTCATGGCCAACCCACCTGTCTACTTTCTCTCATCTTATTGCCTATAGGAGCCACACGTAAGTTCTCTTGAATATATTCATTTCGAATTCTATCCATTATTTTCTTGCTCCTCATCCATCTCAACATCCTCATTTCAGCTACACTCATCCTATGAGTATGTTGGTAGCATGTGATTTTCATCCTAAAAAACATATTTTTAATATTATTTATAATTTTCTAGGATCCCTCTAGGATTTTCATGTGAATGAGGCCTTGTCTCATAGTGATGTAGTTCTTTATTTGGTAGTGTATGATTCTCCTGCAATTGCTCATTGTCTGAGTCTGCTCTTATTGAGTATCCCAAAGATTTGCTTAAGTTACAATTACAATTTTAAAAGTATATTTTACCGGTTTCGCACTGAAAGGGAGTGACTATTGACTATTTGATGGGTTTGCAGTTTCTCGTAGAGGTGTTGAGAATTTGGTAATAATTGGCTCTGGTCCTGCTGGTTACACGGCAGCAATATATGCAGCTCGTGCAAATTTGAAGCCTCTTGTATTTGAGGGATATCAAGTAGGTGGTGTCCCTGGAGGCCAATTGATGACTACCACAGAAGTTGAGAATTTCCCTGGTTTTCCCGATGGCATTAGTGGACCAGATTTGATGGATAGGTAGTTTTTTACATTTATGGCCTTTTCGTTTTTTGGAATTCGCTATCTTTGTGATAGCCCTTTGTTGTTTTAGACATCAATTGGTTTTTAATAAATATGAAGATGTTCCCTATTCCTGTTTTTATAACTATGTTGAGTGATGTTTTCATCTGTATGATTTTACTGTTGTTTTATTAGTGACGTTATATTGAATAGGATGCGTCGGCAAGCTGAGCGCTGGGGTGCTGAACTTTTTCAGGAGGATGTCGAATACCTTGACTGTAAGAGCAGCCCTTTCACAATAAGGAGCAGTGAACGTGAGGTAGCAAGATACTGCTTTTTATGTGGTATCATAAGATAATGCTTGCTCTTTGAAATTATGATCCCAGCTGAGATTTTTGTACACAGCTTATGCAACACAATCATTTCGATATCAAGTTTTGAAGCATTAGGATGAATCATGTTTTGATGTCCTTGAGACTGCAATTCTTCTTTCTTTGCTAGCATCCTTGCTTATTTTGAAACTATGCTTTCTTGTTCCTGAACAACTGCACTAACTAAACAACTGCTCTAACTGAGAACTGTATCATTACAAACTATTAAAATTTATATATATTAGAACATTGAGTTTGAATTTTATGAATTTTTGTAGATTGAACTGTATTTCAATTCAAAATCTTTTATATCCTGTCATTTTTTATGACATGAATATTCCATAGGTAGAAACAAAAAAAAAGAAAAGAAGAAACAATGTACTAAAGAGTGGGAATAGGCGGTGCCTAGGCAGCTGCCTCACTATCAAGGCAGCCAGAAACTAGTAACGGGGGTTGCTATCCATACAATTCCCCATCTTTCTCTTTCTCTCACCTCTCTTCTCATAACTCCACCTCCCTGTCTGTCATCCCCAACCTTTTTCTCTCTAACTCCTTGATCATCTTTGGTGGCATGAACCCAAGGCCAAGAAGCCTGGAAAGAAGAAGTTAGCCTCTGATAGGGTATCAAATGAGAAAAAAGTTGTAGAGAAAGTTTTGAGAGGAAGCCCATGGTTGAGAAGCATTGGGTCCCAGGCACTTGCCTAGTTCAGGTCCACCTAATGCATGGGTTCCTGCTGAAGGCTGGGACTTTGTGGCCATTTTAAAAGCCTTACAAGAGCATGTAATAAAATTTTATAATAGTGAAATAACAACTCTAGTGGGAGTATGGTCCATAGGGGCCAAAGTTGGCAATATTGATGTCAAGACTCAAACTAGGTTTGACGAGTTAGGCCGAGTTGAGTTTTGAAACCCTATGAGATATGGGCATATAACACAACTGAGAAGGGTTTATGGGGTTAACCCTTGATGAGGTCGAAGAGATGCACAGGGTAGTTGGCCAAGGGACTTAGTGACCCTTGTGTGTGATTAGTAGGCCTGAAGGGACAAGGGCTAAATCCTTATCATGACCATCACACAACCCTGTGTTACATGTACATGTGCAAGAGATAACCCCCATGCACCAGTTCCAATGAGTGTGTACAAGTCTGTGTGACCTAGGCTTGTCCCTAGGGGGGATATGTAGTCCATAGAATAAGATTGTGTTCTCATCACCTATTTGTTGGCTTTGGTAGTACAATCATGAATCCATGTGGGTCATGGGAACTACTTGGTTAGTTTGAAAAAGTGAGTGTGTAATATAGTCACTCATAGAGATGGAGTGCTTCAGTATTTTTACATTTTTCTTAACAAAGTTGGTCCGATTCCCATAAATAATTAATTTTGTTTGAAATGATTTTTAGAATATTAAAATAAATTTTTAGAAGTCTTTCTCAAAATTAATTTTTAAATTAGCTAAAACTGAATTTTCAGGTATTTAAATAGTCAGAGAGAAAAGTAAAAAACTTAAGTATTTTTAAAAATCATTTTCTTTCTTTTAAAAGTTATTTAGTATTGTGGGGCCCAAAATTCATTATGGCCCACTAGATTAAGCCATTTGGATGGGGGCGTGGGGCCCACTATGTCTCCATAAGTGGGATGCCCCAAATATTTCATTCTTTCCATATTTTGTGGCTTGTTGCATAAGCTACCTATTTGACTTAAAATTGAAATGGAAAGTTCTTTCAAAAGAGAATGATTGATTTCAAAATGGAATGTGTAGAGATATATTGAAATTAAAAGAAAAATTATAGAATAGTTTCCCTACACAAAATATTTGATTAGGTTAAGGAAGCTAAGGGATAAGGTTCTAGCACCTTCCATTGGATCATGATCGCTGATTTATGGATTGTATGACTAAGATCTCTCACCCCACAGGTTACTTATGATCAACGGTCTAGATGGATTCTCCATAAGGACGGCTAAACTCTAAATCCCAAACCCTAGCCTCACTAATATAAATATATCTAATTGGAGTTTCAAAAACCCTACGCCCAAAACCTTAGAGCTCTATCTCTCTCGTCCTCATAGGTGGTATGCCGCCCTCTCTATACTTTTCTCTCTCTGTCTCCCATCTCAAAAGACGAAAAATAAAAGAGATGGGGGCATGCCCCTAGTATGTTTGGGCAAAGGGGGGCACGCCCCACATAGTAGCACCAAAGAAAGGCCCTTGTTTTCTAGCACATGCTCTCATATTTTGATTAAAGGGTTTAGCCAAGCTTCCCATTTGCTAAGAATCAAGAAAGACCACAATTCCTTGCGCCATTAGTGGAGGAGACCCTGTGTGGGGTGTGCAATAGTCCATTAGAATTAATCTTTTGGCATACGATCTCATTTTCTCCTCTTGTATTTTCTTGTTTCCAATCTCAATTGATATAATTTTAGTTATGTAATAAAAAAGTTTTTGAAGGTTGGTAGCAATTCAGAATCCAAATTTTATTTTATTCATTGATACGAGTTTTGATTGTAATTCTTGGACATATCTAAGTGTTCTAAGCTGATATTGTGAAAGTAAATTTTAAATTATATAGGTTTTGCTAGTTCACATTGTCCACTTTCAAGCGGGGCACCTAGTCCTTTGACTGCCTCGAGGCATGACCTAGGTGCTGAGGCAGCCTGCTTGTTTTATGACAATGGATAGGAAATATTCCCATACGGCAAAAATTACTTATTGCAACAATTAACATACAGACTTCGTGAGAAATCCTACTGTAAAGCTTTAGACCATATTTTGGCCTTTTTGGGTTAGGGTTTCACAATGTTAGTAACTGAAAGAATTTTAATATGGTCCATGAAAACGAAAAAAATATTGCACATCTTGTCATGTTTTTCAATTGTATATTTAATATGGTCCAAAGAATGATTTTCCATTCAATGATTTATCTATTTTTATTAATGCTTGACTTCAGGTAAAATGCCATACTCTTATATATGCCACTGGGGCCACTGCAAGGAGGCTAAGATTGCCTCGTGAAGATGAGTTCTGGAGCAGAGGAATAAGTGCCTGTGCAATATGCGATGGGGCATCTCCACTCTTTAAGGGGCAAGTGCTTGCAGTGGTTGGAGGTGGTGATACAGCTACAGAGGAAGCATTGTATCTCACCAAGTATGCTCGTCATGTACACTTACTAGTTCGTGGAGACCACTTACGTGCATCCAAAGCAATGCAAGATAGGTGCGCTAGTTACAAAATTTGGGTCTTCTTTACTATTTACTTCTTGCATTTGGATTAATTGCATGAGAGTTATCATTGTAAATGTTCTCAAATGATACCAGTTGAGCAACGAATGTTCTTCTAGGTTAATGTGGCATCTGCTTAACATTTTACTTGTTCTCTATCACAATTAGGATCGATATGACCTCTTTTTATGAATTTTATGTAGATGTCACACATAAGAACATTTAGGAATTGGATTATATTTCCATATAATTCCCATTTGATCCGGATTCAAATTGTTGCTTCGCCCTTTGGAGGAAGATAAGATGCTTGGTGCTCTATGCAAGAAATTGTTTTTCTATTAATGCAATTAACTTTATTTTGCATCATATTGGAGTTATGGACCATGGTTTCTGACATTGCCATGTCATATGGTGTTCTCTAATATGATCAAGCCAATTCTACGTATAGGTCAGATAGGCAGAATCGACCTGTCAGATTCGTCTGACTTTTTTTTAAAGTTTATTTAAAAAAAGAAATTCTTTAAGAGCCAATCTGACCAGCTTAGGGTGGCAACCGGGTCAACCCTAATTGGGTCCGGCTTTGGATCCATGTGTTGGACCTGGCGGGTTGGTCCGGTCCAAAGGACTTGGACCCAGCAGGGGTCGGGTTGTGGTGAACCTGATCCAACTGGACCCAATATAAAATATATAAAAGAATACTATATATACAACATATAATTTTCTTTTTAATTACTAGACCTAGGTCCGGGTCTAAATAACTTGGACCCAACCCGAATTGGGGTTGGGTCGGATCCGGGTCTATAAGTAAGGTCAGGTCTGGGTCCTACCACTCCTAGGCCAGCTTGATCACTAGTGATGTTTTGGTCAGAGAGGCTACCTATGTCATTCAACCACCTTTCTGGTCTTAATAACATTGGGTCAAATGCATCTGATTGTGATTCTCGGCCACCTAAGGCCACCCAGAAAGAGCGATATGCTAAAGGTGCTCCTTAGGTGGGGCTCACCTCCAGAAAATCTAGGGTTAGACCTTGTGTCCAAACCTTAGGGTTAACCTAGCCCATCTTTCTAAAGGGGTTGGTTAAATAAGTTAGTGAGTTATTGTCATTTTTTTCTTTAGTGAGTAGGTTCAACTTATACTAGTTTCCTTTTTTTCCTTTTGTTTTTCCCTTCTTTGGTTCTTCCTAACTTTGTATCAAGTGCCAGTTTTCTAAAAATTATAAAGGAATCTATATCCTTATATTTGGGAAGAGGAAGATTTAGTAAAGGTTCAAGAAGGTTACGGTTAAAAATATACAACATGGACATCTATAACACCATGCAAGGCCTGAGGTCAACTCACGTTCATTTTGAGAAATAAAAGATCTGATTTTCAAAAATGTGGAGAGAGTCCAAGTGAAAGGAGAGATTGGATACCTCAACCCTACATCTATGAATATGAGTAACTTCAAGAGGTAAGGGTTTCTTTTTTATTCCATTTGATGGCGCGCCTTATCCCCTTCTTCATCCATGCTTTCCATCTCTAAACCCATAATCCTTCTCCCCCACATCCTTCTCGTACCATCTTCTTATCTCTTGCATCATTGACCCTACAATGATTCCCATTCAACCATCTAAGCCATCCAAAACAAAGCCAACACTTTGTTCATCCTCTACCAAGCCTCCCCATCAGTTCCTTTCTATCTCCCCCATTATTCTCTAATGCCTACACATCCTCCTTGCACAACAACTTTGTTGGACTCAAATTTCAGCAAGTTTCAGCTTCACCAGAGGAGTTAGTTCACACCCTATTCACCTCTCCACCGACATCAAACCCTTAAACCCTGCTGCCCCAAAACTTCTAGGTCCATGAAATTCTCGTTGATCCTGCATCAGTCTGTTTTAGCAACTTTTCATTGCTAGGGAGACCAGGGGTCGAAGAAGAGAATTCAAATATTTCCTATCACTTCTTGGTCTTGCCTAATAGTCAGGAGTGATCCAGTGGTGTTTTGGAGTTTATGTTTCATATTCTCGGAGTCATTGTGTAAAACCTCACATATGTAAAAAAAGGTTATGTTCTAAAAATTTTGGTGTAAAAACATCCGTCACTGTCTTTTTCTTTCCTGATATTCAGTTCATTTTCTGATCTTTAGTCCTGTGCCATAGATTTGACTTCTAGGCCCATGATATTCTCATTGATCCTGCATCAAATTGTATCAGTAAATTTTCATTGCTAGGCAGACTAAGGGCTGAAGAAGAGAATTCAAATCTTTCATATCCCTTCTTGGTCTTGCCTAAAATTCAGGAGTGAGCCAATGGTGTTTTGGAGTTTATGTTCCACTTTCTTGCAGTCATTATGTTAAGCCACACCTTTGCATTAAAAAAAAAAAAAGTTATTAAAATCCTGGTGGAGAAACATTTGTTAGAGATTTCAATCTTTTTCCCAAGGTCGAAACTTTTCCTGATATTCGGTCTTTTTTCTGATCTTCATTCCTGTACCATACAATTGTCAGTCCTTCGCTGAAGCATTTTTCCCTGTACTTCTGTTGAAAGCATTTATGAGAAATTCTAAGTTTCTCGTGTCCATCCCATCAGGTTTGGTCAGTATTTTGAGATCAATATCTTGAGAGAGCAAGTCTTCTTAAGTGCATAATGTAGTCGTCAAATTTAGAACAATGCCTAAATGAGAAAATGAAAGGTTTATGATATGTACAATAACTAAATGCCCTTACACTACATCAAAGCAGACTGAAATATCCTAGTGTGAATGACATAATTATCAACTTAATTCTTTTAATTTATATTGTGTAACACACTGCTGCTTCATGCCTTCATCCACTGAGCAGTGCCTCATATTTAGGTGCTACATCTTGTTTAGAGTTGCATCTTATGGTCGTGGGTCCTAATATGAGTGCACATCATGGAGGTCATATATATGCCTGCCAACTTGACGTGCTCTATACTTTGCTTGAAGCAAGTTGGTTGGTGAGTCAGTTATGACCTTCCTTTGGAAAACTTTTCTGAGCCTTTTATCCACATTTGATGCTCTGAGTTTTTCCATGTCAAATTTGAAATTTAAACTCATCTGACTGGTAATAATTTTCAACTTAGAAATTGGGGTATGGAGTGTTAACTGGAATGTTCTTGACCATCAGTAGAACAACATATCTTTGATCCATAGTCCCAATGAATATATGAAGGGAAATTTATCAAAATGCACTTAATTTATCAACGATGTAACATTTTACCCATTTTCAAGTTCCAACCATGATCAGGTGTATTTTGATGGGGGTTTTTGAAATTGAATCAAAAGACGTGGGTAGAATGTTAAACAGTTCATCTTGTATGTGCATTTTGATAAAATTTCCATAAATAAACATTATAAATTATGCAGAAACGACTAAACATATAGTAAAAATATAAAAAATATGTAAATAACAGTCACCATAAATCTTACCTAAAAAATATGATTAATGTACTAAATTATATTGCTGGTAGTGTATTGTGCTGGTATATGTGCAACATGTTTTCAGTCTTATGTATGATGAGATTTCAAATTGGGGTCACTGTCCTCTCTAGGATTCTTAATTAGTTGAATGATGGATTGGAAGGTCCTTTGACCTTACTTATTTTTCATGGTCATTTTTAGCTTTTACATACCCTATAGATGTGATGGATTTCTCAATTCTTACATAATTGAAAGGTATTTATTTGAGATGTTGCTTCCTTTTCCTGTCCGTTCTTATTTGCATGACTTTCTCGTGTTGTTTCGCAATTCTGGTCAATTGCGTGTGCCCAATTTAGTATGCGTCTAATGAAAGTGTTGAAAAGAATCAATCAGTATAATGACAAACAGAAAGTTGAAGTTTCAACTTCGTGAATGTTTGTATAACAGGTTGATTATCACGAATGTTTCACAGAATTTACAACAATCCGAATATTGCGTTGCACTTCAACACGGAAGCTGTGGATGTTGTTAGCAATAGCAAAGGCCAGATGTCTGGTATTCTACTGAAGAAGACTGATACAGGGGAACAATCTGTCCTGGAGGTTAGGGGCCTATTCTATGGTATTGGCCATTCACCTAGCAGCCAGTTGTTGCAAGGACAAGTTGAACTTGATAGCTCTGGTTATGTGGTTGTAGAAGAGGGAACGGCAAAAACTTCAGTTGAAGGTGTCTTTGCAGCTGGGGATGTGCAGGTAATTTATGTTGCTTAGGTCAACCATCATTCTTTGTTTCTCTTTGGTTTTAAAGATAATTGAGTCTGCTGATTAAGGTGAAAACTCAGCAGCTCTCGAATGAAACTTGATTGATGGCCTTTGAATTCATTGGAAGATTAAAATCATTACTGTCCATTTATAAATAAGTTGAAAAGTTAGAAACTCTCAAATGAAACATGAAACCTGATTGATGGCCTCTGAGGTTCTGGAAGATCAAAGTCATTGGTGTCCATGTAAACTTAAGATGAAAACTCACAAACTCCTTAGTGGACTTCAAATATCGAAATTGTTGGTGTCCATGAGACTATTGTTCACGCAATGGTCGATGATATGCAAGGACAGCAAATGCCGGCATAGCTTATCAGTTAAACTATGCAATGGCAGATGATATGCAATGACAGCAAATGCCTGCATATCTTATCAGCTGTGAGTTTAACTTCCATGCTTCTGCTTTTACCTAAATAGTGCAGTGCTTTCTAATTGTGCATATCTACCCATAAACGTGAGACAACTAGGTTGCAAAATAAAAACTTTTTGTTAAAAGATGTATGAAACTTCAGTGACATATATGGATAGTTTTAGGGCACATTTGTTTCGCGGGAAAGAACTCCTGGAGAATGTTCTTTCCAGCGGGACTACCACTTTCCCATGTTTGTTTCATGGGAAAGTGTAGAAACTGTTGCGGCCAGAAATGTATTTCCGAGGTTTTCCAAGAGTTATTTAATTTTGTAAGAAAGCTGCTTACCCCTTCAGGTATGAAAGCGCATTCCTAGGTGACGGATAGCTCTCTTTGGGAATAGGGCCCGTGGAAAATGCTTTTGGCGTGCCCTATTTTTGTGCATGTGCTGGGGCAGCATTGTTGGTACTGTAGATACAGTGTGTTCTCTCTTCTTCTTAATCAAGGGTACTTTAGTCATTCTTTTCCATTATTGACTTGTACATAACATATTGGTTTGTTTGATACCTTCAAATTAATTTGCCTTGTTTAATGACTTAAAACTAATTTTCATCTCATATTCCAAATTTGACTGGGTATTGGGTCAATGTTGAAGCTCTATACTCCAACACTTGGAGCCCTGAGTTAGATATTTCCAACAAATAAAAAATGTGTGAATTTTGACCAAAATTTGAGCATAGCTTTTTGTGCAGAAAGTTTCTCAAATCCGCCTGTTCACATTTGCTAAGCTGTATTCATTTGTGGTTAAAAATCTTATGAAACTTAGGGCTTATATCCCCCTTGACATTATGAGTATTTGGCTTTTATCCACGTTGATATTATGAGCATTTTGGGATGCTATAAAATTGAGAAAAAGTAGTTGGAGATTCAGTGGTGTTTTTTTCTCTTCCAATTTTTTTACTGGTGTGCCCTTTTGCATGTGTCTGTAATTGTATGGAACTGGTTCATCTGGTCCTCTGCATTTCAGCCGGAAGAGACGTACTTATTGGATGCATAGTTTAGATTTTAGAAGGTATGAAGATTTTAATTCTTTCTTGGCTGTATGGTCCAGTAGGCTATTTTTCAAGGTAACACACATTTGACGATGAAATAGATGGTTCCAATTAAAGAAAGAAAGTTGACTGGATAGAAGCTGCAAGCATGCTAAACCCGTTGGCCTTACCTTATTTGGCATTCAGAACCAAATACTTTGATGTTGGGTCTCCTATTTTGGGATATAGGAGTTTTTCATGCTATCCTTTTATATATAACCATTGTCAACCTCATGTTTCTTGGGTAGTCAAGATGTTGAAATTATAAATTCATTATTTGAATGTTAATTAGCTGTATGGCACTTTATTATCAAATTTTCTGTTTTTTCTCAATAATTGTTTTAGAATTTGGTGGGATTTCACTACTTTGTGTTCACACGTTCATGTAAACACTGAGTCAGGGCATTTCAAGGCATGTTGAACTCATCACCCAAGAAATGCGTTGGTATGCTGAATGCGAATGCATAGCTCCTGCTCCTTAGCATGCCAATTACGTCATTGGCATGGCATGAAGCCCCAAAATCACCTAGTAATAGTTGACATGGTTTTGGACTAGAAATCTGCACTGGATTTGAAATCATTGATAAAAGACTCTTATTCTTTTTACTGTGCTAACAACCATTATAATAGGTAACTTTTCTGTTATCACCATTGTAACACTTCATTTGAATTTCTCTCTCTGATTCATTGAAATCATTGTTCAGAAAAATCTTATTTCCACCATCATAATCGTAATAACTCTTGGCCATTATCACTAGCATACTACATTATTTGGATTTCCTTCTGGGCCTTATTTTAAAAAATGGATGGTTTACTCTTAATAGCTATTACTCTAAATGATAAATTTTTGAAAAGCTGAAGGGGTAATGGGGTGTGCATGTGACATCCAAGAGAGTTGTTTAGCATATATTATGAACTTTAGACTGTAAGATGTAAACACAGAGATTTTGTTTAAAGTTGACTATACAAATCCTTCTGAAACAATTGCTGTAAATAATGTCTCTAAATGAATATGTGGAGCTTGTTTGAAGCCACAATATGACTTTTAATGGTGGCAAATACTACCTAGGATATCATGGATGACGTCGCATATTGATGGCCCCTTCAAGTCCTTGAAAAATCATGTTTTTGAACATCCACGTGATAAGGGGCTGTTGTTGGAGATCCTATTCAAATCACTACTGGGAATTGCCTTTTGTAATCAATTATCTACTCTTGGGCCATTGCCTCTGTATTGACCATGTAACTCTCCAAGTTTTCCTTTCCTGAACTTTTTCTTGTGAATACTTTTACGTCCTATATTGCTATAGCAGGATATAAAAGAAAAGACAAATCCCAGGTGACCATGATGAATTATTTGATCTATTGCATTTTGATATTTCTAAGATGGTTTAGAAATGACCTCATTTCACAATGTGCCTCTAATTGTTAACGGATTTTTGTTAGAAACTTACTAGTTACTTCTCTCCATAGAGAACCTATTCCCTATTAGTGTGAAGCTTGACTTTTAGGGATCTTGTCATCTCTGTCTTATTTTAATTGTAGGACCATGAATGGAGACAAGCCATAACTGCAGCTGGCTCTGGCTGTGTGGCTGCTTTGTCTGTCGAGAGATATCTTGTGACGAATGATCTCCTGGTTGAATTTCATCAGGTATTTCTATTTAAATCCTGAGTTCACTGTCAGGTTAGCCTGTTTCTGTCTTCTCAGCTTCTTTTCTCTTAGGATTAGTTCATAATTAAAATGCTTAGCTGCATATTTGGTTTTGCTAACTCTTTAAAAGCTTAGTCTGTACTTTATGGTAGCTTAGCTTGTTTTTCTGGTGTTCCCTAGAGTTGTAGGATATGAACTGTGTACGTTTGTATTTACAACCTTTTTACGAGCTTGTAGTTGTACTCATATAGCAAATAACTGTTTGAATTGTGTTCTTTTGTCTAAGATCAAGTGTAATCTGTTCTTATGAGTTGTGTTCTTAATTTCTAATTGTTGTTGATTTCCCTAACTGAGCTTATGATGTCGTAAGCTCACAAAAGTGATAATTATTGTTTTTCTCTTTTTTGAGTTTTTCAAGCAAGTGTCAATTATGATGTGAAAGTTGCTCTAATCCATTGAGACTATTTTCTGTTTAGTCTATTAACTCATTTATTACATTATTTTATATGCTCATCTTAGTGGTGTTGGTTCTACTATATTTGGTAACACGACTGGCATGCAGGATGATATAGCATTGCAGACTGCAGTTTGGGTATGGGCATTAGTTTGAATTGAGTTTGTGAAACAAGAAGTAGTGTAACGAATCTGTCATAATGGATATGGTGGGCCATGCTGTGCTATTGACTGTTACTGTGTAATTCAAGGCTAGGTTAAGAGAGAATAGGAACCTAAAATTGAGTGAATGATTTTTTAGAAGCCTCTGCCCCTGAAATAGGGTTCTGGAGAAGGTGAAAGGAAGGGGAATTGAGAGAAGTAATATATGGGTTTGGGAAGTAAAGAAATATTTGGCTTCAAGTTCAAGCTCAGGACAATACTCACATTTAGGCATCTAGAAGAACTGCTCTGATGGTATTCCAGAATGCCATATGAAATTGAGAATAGTCCACCATATCTTCACGTGTGGGTTGACATTGCAGACATGTGCTTGTTTGTGTTCCATGCTTTGACCAGAATATGCCAACAACAAGGTGCTAGCATTTCAAATGTTAAAACTAGTTCATGAACAGTTATGAATATGATAAAGAAGAATTTCACATTCTGTTATGTTTGTCACATAGTTGGGATCGGAAGCGGGAATGGTACCGGGATCGGGATCGGGATCGGGATCAGGATGAGGGGATCATGAAATGCTAGAAGATCCCTCTATATGGTTGGGAATGCCGTCCATACAATGCACATATTAGGGATCGAGATCCCCAAATGTTAGGGATCGAGATTCCAAACTTTTGGGGATCTTGCTACCAACATTAAACTGTATGATAATCTATGAGTATGTGTACTCTTTAAAGTAGGAATCTCATTATTGATAGCAAGCAAGCAATGCAACTATATTAAAAATATAGTTGAGCAGCTAGCTAGCTATAAACAAAGAAAATCATCAGTTTGGTTGTTGTCTGGGTCTTTAAAGTTGGGATCAAGATCCCTAACAGCAGGAATCGGGATCCCTATCAGTGGTGATCGAGATCCGAAAGTTTAAAAATCGAGATCTTTGAGAGATCCATTTTCGAGAGCGACAAAATTGAGATCCTAGAAGGGATCGCCTACCAAAGTAGGAGATCCTAGTAACTATGGTTTGTCAACTGGTGTGAATGCATGATTTACTTGTTTGGTCTCTCATTCACTTCTGAGCATGTCTGGGCTTTTGTTCCGGCATGCTTACACCCATCTGTGTCTGTGCCAGTTTTGTTTTTGTTGGGAAATATGCTTCTATATCCTAAATAGACTCTCTTAATATAGTGCTCTTGGCTTTCTCTTTAATGCCCGCTGCGATATCATTGGAAATTTTCTCTCTTTTATTTAATGCTCACTTTCCTTTAACAGCCCCAACTGCAAGAACAAAAGAAAGACATTTCAGACAGAGATGTAGAAATGGGCTTTGACATTATGCTCACCAAACACAAGGGTCAGGTAGTCTCATATGAATAGCATCACTTGCATTTTTTTTTTTAAGTTTTGTAACTACTTGACCATTGAAGTGCTTTTATATTCATGTGTTTAAACCTTTCTTGACAATGTAATCATTACTTATATGCTTATCATATATGGTTCTTTGCAGTATGCACTAAGAAAATTGTACCATGAAAGTCCAAGACTTATATGTGTCCTCTATACAGCACCAACATGTGGCCCTTGTAGGACACTAAAGCCCATTCTGAGTAAGGTAATGATAATTGGATTAAATTGGTAACTCGTGATAAAAGAAGTATAACTTAATTGTATTCTCATGTTACAAATATTTCATAGTATTTTAGGAAATATAT